GACAAAAATGTATATTCCATCCCTAATAAAATAATATAATGAGAAGAGACACCAAGTGATTCATCTGGATTTAGCAACTGTGCATTTGCCAGAATCTTATTCTGGTATTTTTCAAGGATTTTTCAGTCAAAAGTGACCGAATTCCTATTTAAACTGGCTACTCTAACAATATTACTCAGTAATGTTTTGGAAGTATATGCTCCAGCAAAGCAAAAGAAGCAGTGTAAATATCAGAGAAGGGAATTACTTGCAGATGGTAGGGTATATTGTACATCTAATGCATACTAAAAAATAATAAAAAAAGTTAGTAATGTTGCTGGATACAAGATACATGTGCAAAAACCCCAATAGTCAGTTAAATGTAGAAATGGAAAATTTGCCCTGTAAAAAAATAGTTTCAAAAATAATAAAATGCCAAGGAATAAATGTTAATAACAAACATAAAATGCTTATATAGTGAAAAATTTTATTTATGTATATAAAACAAGATCTGAATAAATAGTGAGACTTACATATTCCTGAACAGGATGACTTAATAGTAAAAAGATGCCAATCCTTCTCAACTCAGGAAAACCCTATAACCCTACATGTAAGACTCTAGTCTACTAAGATAAAAGCAAGAATATAGAAAAATATTCACATAAGGAAATTATTAAAGAGTGTTTACATGGCCTTATTCATAAAAGCAAAAAATGGAAAATGCCTAAAGATATATCAATACTAATTCGTTAAAAAAAACTACATAGCATCCAAAGTAAAGACTATTAAACGAACTTGTCAAATCTGTCTGTATTTGTCTATAAAGGAATCTACTATTTATTGGCAAATGAAAAATGCAAGGTAAAGAAATATATGTCTAACCTAATACAAGATTTTATTTTAACAAAATAGGTATGAGAATTTACATTAGATATTGCGTATAACTAAAATGCTTTTTTTTTGTAATGAAAAGAATGTACACAAAACTGCTAAGAGCATTTCCTCTAGGGGTCACAAAAATTAGCAATAAAGGGAAGTTTCATTTCTTACTGTGGTTTTTGGTGCTTTTCTAAACATGGTACTCAAAAACATAGGCTGAATAGGACCTATAATTTTTAAATTATATATACACAACTAAAACACTTTTTTAATGAAAAGAATGTATGCAAAACTGCTAAGAGCATTTGCTCTCAGGGGTCACATAGAATTTGCAAAAAAGGGAAGTTCCATTTCTTACTGCGGTTGTTGGTACTTTTCTAAACATAGTACTCAAACCTGCAGGCTGAATATGATGTATAATTTTTAAATTATATATACACACTTTCAAGCAGGGCAGTTTTATAAAATTTGATAACTGACAAGTACATGAATTGGCACAAAATAATTTGTTAAACTGGAAAGAAATTTGAAATGCAACAAACCAAAATGTAAAATCACAGTTCAGTAAGGAATCTTTTTTAAATTTACAAAGCCAGATTATTCTTAATGTGCTAAAGGAGAGATGACTTACCATAGGCACTGGCTTTCCCTGATGGCAGTTGATACCACCAATGAAGACCATGTTGGGCATCACGGGTTTGGGATAGTCCAAAACAAAGTCCGTTCGCAACAACCAAATTGATGTGTGGCTGTAGAGATCATATTCTGTGACAGGTGTTTGGAGAATTTCAGAGGCGATTTCTAGGGCATTTTTGAAAAAATACTTGCAAAATAAATGTTCCTCCAAGTGCATGATATGGTTCCATACTCTCTCCTTGAAAGTCATGGCATCTGAGAACCCTAAGAGAATTCTGGGGACATAGGAAAGAGGAGCAGGGCACTGCGCACCTTCTTCAAGATAGTGGCAAGCTATTCCCCTGGCAAAGACCACAGAGGGGAGGGAGAAATATTTGGCAACAATTAAGCCACAGGCATCAAAAGGATCCAGAAACACTGCATCAAAAGAACTCTAAGTATTCTACCAATTTTTGGTCATTAAACAAACTCCTGCAATGCGAAAAAAAATAAATCAAAAAAACCGTTGGATGAACTCAGAAATAGAGAAAAGAAACTTTGTACTTGTGCTTTCCATTGAGCATGGGCGAAAGCCATGAATTCCCGGTCCAGATCCTCCAGAGTGTATGAGGTTTAATAACTCTTCACTGTGCAATTCAGTGATCTTCCCAGTTGCCAACTCACCTCTGGCATGACTACAACCACCTCATGCCCCCTGAGGATAAGTTTCTCCACCACCGACTGCATGGTGAACCAGTGGCTCCCATCCATGGGCACTACCAGCAGCTTCCCTGCCTCGGCAAAGCCACAGGTCAGCAGCAGAGAAACACATAGGAGAACAGGGCTGGTCCACCATGTGCGAGCCATCAGAGAACTTCAGCCGCAGCCAGCAGCTGGGATTCTAATCTCCTATGATACAGTAGGCAGAAGAAGTACAGGCACAAAACCTGATCCCAATAGAGGGTGTGTGTTTATCCTTCCATTAAAAAAAAAAAAAAAAAAATCACACTCACTGCCAATGATTTACTCATAAGAACAAGAATACATGAGTATCATTTGTTGAGATACCTACTTGTATGTTTTCCAGACAAGACTATCTTATGGTCTCTGCCTTGGACAGATCATGCCCAGTGCTGCAATGTGAGTTTAGAAACAGAATTACTAAGCAATGCTTTTGGACCTTGAAAATTCAGAAAGATAAAGTGAAAGTCAATTTGAATAAAGCTAATATTTTTGGAATTTATCTCAAAACAAAATTCAGATTTTAACTTTAACCAACCAAATACTCTCTGTCCAGAAAGAAATTGGCATCCTATGTGTCATGGAAAGACAGCAAGGCCCTCAGCACTGACCTCCCAAGTGGCAAGAAATTGGGGCTCACGCACATCTCTGAAATACATAATCATTGCTGGTTGTCTTCTTCCATATCCAAACCCTGAGAGGTCTCCGAAATGCCAAAATGAGATTGATAATCCTGCCTCCATGGACCACACCAGGGTCTTGATGGAAAGTGACCATTGCCTATTTTAATGACTTTCCTCAGATACATCACATGCAGTGGGGAGTTGCTGGCCCAGTCCTTGAGCAAGCACCCTGCTGGGCTGTCTCTCTGTAACTGCTCTACTTCCACACTCTAAACATGCCATCACTCCAGTGCCCTCCTTCAGGAAAATATGTACTTGTCTCCCTCAGTCTACTGAGCACTCCCTGAGGTCAGTGGCGATGTCATCTTTGTGTTTTCACCCTCCTCTCACAGAACCCATGCTATGCCTTTGATACAGTTTGTATGTCTGTCCCCTCCATATATCATGGTCAAATATAATCCCCAGTGTTGAAGGTAAAGCATGGTGGGAGGTGTTTGGATCATGGGCGTGAATCCCTCATGAATGGCTTGGCACTGTCCTCCCAATAGTGAGTGATTTCTCACGAGATCTGGTTATTTAAAAGTATGTACCAAAAACACTCTTTAGGATATTATCCAGGAGAACTTCCCCAACCTAGCAAGACTGGCCAACATTCAAATTCAGGAAACACAGAGAACACCACAAAGATACTCCTCGAGAAAAGCAACACCAAGACACAGAATTGTCAGATTCATCAAGGTTAAAATGAAGGAAAAAATGTGAAGGGTAGCCACAGAGAAAGGTCTGGTTACCCACAAAGGGAAGCCCATCAGACTAAAAGCAGACATCTCTGCAGAAACCCCACAAGCCAGAAGACACTGGGGGCCAATATTCAACATTCTTAAAGAAAAGAATTTTCAATCCAGAATTTCATATCCAGCCAAACTAAGCTTCATAAGCGAAGGAGAAATAAAATCCTTTACAGACAAGCAAATGCTGAAAGATTTTGTTACCACCAGGCCTGCCTTACAAGAGCTCCTGAAGGAAGCACTAAATATGGAAAGTAAAAATGGGTATCAGTCACTGCAAAAACATACCCAATTTAAAGGACAAGTGACACTATAAAAAAAACCTGCATCTACTAATGGGCAATATAACCAGCTAGCATCATAATCACAGGATCAAAATCACACATAATAATATTAACGTTAAATGTAAATGGGCTAAATGACCCAGTTAAAAGACACACACTGGCAAATTGGATAAACAGTCAACACCCATCAGTGTGCTGTACTCAGGAGACCCATCTCACATGCAAGACACTCATTGGCTCAAAATAAAGGGATGGAGGAATATTTACCAAGCAAATGGAAAGAAAAAAAAAAGCAGGGGTTGTAATCCTAGTCTCTGATAAAACAGACTTTAAACCAACAAAGATCAAAAAGGACAAGGAAGGGCATTACATAATGGTAAAGAGATCAATGCAACAAGAACAGCTACCCATCCTAAATATATATGCACCCAATACAGGAGCACCTAGACTCATAAAGCAACTTTTTACAGAACTACAAAGAGACTTAGGCTCCCATACAATAATAGTGGGAGACTTTAACACCCCACTGTCAATATTAGATCAATGAGACAGAAAAGTAGCAAGGATATTCAGGTAGCTCTGGATCAAGTAGACCTAACAGACATCTACAGAATTATCCACCCCAAATCAACAGAATATACATTCTTCTTGGCCCCACATCGCACTTATTCTAAAATCGACCACATAATTGGAA